GGGGGGCTGAGTGTGTTAAGGATAACTTTAGTGCACATCTCCATTCGAGTGCACTCTGACTGAGCTGGAGGAAGGGTTTGAGATCCTAATGAGATTTTAAAAAAAGGGGACCAGGATGGCCAGAAGTGGCACTCAATCAAATAGAATCTAAATAGATGTTGTATTAAGTACATTTTTTACATTTTCTCTTTTCTTTCCTACAGGAAGCACTAGTCCTAGCCTTCTGGAAACTTCTGTGGGGACAGCGAAATATGAACATGCCTTTGGAGGTATCGTCTGGCGAATTCCAAAGCTTCCAGAGAAGAACCAAGGTATTGTACCATATTATTGTCAATTGTTTAGTATTTTATGTTAGACGAAACTTTTTTTATACCTTGTTTAACGAACCCACCATCATATTGATGATTTTGAATGAAAATTAAATTGTATTTTTGGCCAATTAGTGCACCCGTTGCCACAAAAAAATGGAAAAAAAATGAAAGTTTTTCTTAAGTTTTATTTATGCCCGCCGCTGCCTTGAAATTTACAAAAATACCACGTTTAACCATGCCATTACTACGGTGTTTACATTCACCAATAAAATTATTTTTATTTTCTTCTCCGACAAAACTGTTTGCTAAATAAGAATATAAAATTTTATTTTTATATTTTTCCGCCCACCTCTGATGATCTTTAAAAAAAAAAAATTTGCGAAACAAGGTGTAAAAAAAAGCTTGCCTTATTAAAAAAAATGTATTTCAAATTCAACACCATTGTGTGATCCTTACATACTATTCCTGCTCTGACGTTTTCAAATTCATTAAATTCATTGTTACTGCAGTCTGTAGCTATAAAATTGTTATACATTTGAATATTTTCTGTTGTGTGAACAAAAGTAAGATTATCAATGAACTCGAGCATTTAACCACAAAGAACAGATGTGTACAAAACAGGCCATGACAATGTGTTTTAGCTAATGTTTTCAGTATTTTGTAAATGAATGTCATGTAATTACAATTAGTTTTATTTTATTTATATTTTCTTTATTTTTACAAAATCTGTTTAATAAAAATCCTGTATTTTTCCTGTTGCAGAATAAATAAACTTATCTTGTATTTTTGTATAATATTATTCATAGTTACAGAAGGTAAATTATGTCTGTAGGCTATGAACCATTTGAAATATTATGCATGAGACATTAAATATAAATCTTTCATTTTATTCAGTTGGTAACTCAAATCACATCTTCATGTGTCACTTAACAATGCAGAACAGCCAGTCCATACCCAAGAACTTCCATCGCCAAGCTCAAGTCGAGTTCACCATGCCCCATTCAACCGCATCAAAGACAATTATCCGTTCCCTTTCAATAACCAACGAAAGGGCGCCGGAGAAACGTGTCCGCTACTCTGCACGTTATGAATATACCGTGAATATCGAGAATCATTATATCGCTATAGGAGATGAGAACACGGAGGATCCATCTGGATGTAGTTTACAGTAATTAAGAGGATTAACGAGAAGATGATTAATGATGATTATTATACAAGTTATTAATATTTTATTTTTTATTAAGGAATGTGTATTTTTTTAACAGCACTTTTGCTATATATGCAACTTGTATTGATTTTTATCTGAAAGCTACATTGTGGACTGATTGGTAAAATGAGGTTTATTTCTATTTTATCAATTGTTTTTATATTCTGATTGTTTTATAAATTTTATGATTGTCTATATATAAAATAGATTTCATTAACTATTATAGCCTACCTTTATGACTCATGTATAAGCCCATCTTTGAGCATTAACCCATCTCGTAATTCTGATGCACAATGGTTGGACAAGATATAAACACATTTCTTTTTAATAGATTTCAATGTTTGGGTGAAGTGCCCTATAGAATAAGTTTAGAAAAACGGTAGGATTACCTTGCATGTAAAAACTGTCTACATTTTATATCTTCCTTTCCCTAAAGCCTTGTTTCCATAAAATCGCTACACTGTCGCTACAGTGTTTTCAGTGCAATTTTGTACTGCGTAGCAGTCCCCGCCGCAATCAGGAAGGTTCCCGGATTTGACCGACCAATCAGCATCATCAAAATCTGTTGGCAATAGCATGTAGCGATTGCATGGAAACCAAGTTTACACTCTTGTCAGTACAGTAGGTTCCTGTTAGGCCCTAGGCTTGATTTTGTGCTATCAGGCAGTGATGTGCTTTACACTTGAGTCAGTACAGTTGTAAAGCTAAGCTTATTTCTCCCTTGCGACTCAACTTAGTTCAACTGACCTTTGCAACTTGCCAGCAACTGGCAGGCAACTGAGTCGCACGATTTGAAGCGCATGAGAGCTGCGATCGCCAGTTGCTCTCATTTGCCCATGTTGCATTAATAGTAATCATAATAGTGTGGTTTTATATAGCACCGTATCCATCTGATATAAGATGCTCAAGGCAGCGGCGGGCGTAATGCAAATAAAGAAAAACATTTTTTTTCCGTAGCAATGGGTGCTCTAATTGGCAAACTATAAAATTTTATTTTTGTTCAAATCATATTATTGGCAGGCGGCGGGTTTGCTGAACAAGCCTCCCCTAACATTGTATGAAATTATCCATGTACCAAATTATCTTAGCATTGCATGGCAACTAGTTGTAGATAATCTGCAGTTGGAAGTGGCATAATTAGTGCTCTGGGCAACTAGTTGTACTAGGTTGCTTGTAGTAGTTGCTACTGGCAACTAGTTGAGGTCAGTTGATGTCAGTGCTATTAAGTCAGTCGCAAGTATGACATATGCTTAGCATAAGAACTGTATATTTTTTATATAAGCAAGTGTTAAAATGTGGATGCAGTCATTAAAAATTTTATAAAGTTTCATTGTATGCACTAATAAAATAAAGTACTAATATCAGGTGTAACAGTTGTATTTATAAATTATTCCTAATATTATTTTAGACACCAATAATATCATAATGATATGTTAATTTCTGCTAAAATCATTTAGTTTTGTATTAATACTTAGCACCAATAATATAATAGAGTATTGATATCAGCTATAACAATGTATTGTTCTTCATTGAAATTACACATTCATGGTAATTATTTTTTAAAGAAGTCTTCAAAAATGTATGTTACACAGTGGATAATTTGTGTATTTTGAATGTTAAATAGCAATGTTTATTGTAGAAGAATGACACCTTACATTGTTTTTGTATTAGAAGATATCTTTATGAAAAAGCACATTCATGTTCTTTATTAATCAAGTATTGGTATATTATTTCTTGTATAATTTTTTTTGATATTTTATATATTTTTTTATTGACTGAAGATTTTTTTTTAATGCAATAATCCTCTATCACATTGTATTTTATTAACTGTATATAGTAGGTCCTATATAATTAACTGTAATCTTGTTTTAATATTTTAATATTTTATGAGATGGTGATTTTGTAAAAGAAGATAGGTGCTAATTGTGCAAGCAATTAACAAGGAATTTTAATTGTGAATTTTAAAGAAACAATTTGTTAATTAGTTTAAAGGACTGGACTTATTCCATTGGAAAAAATTTTCATGTAAAGTTGTTCTAGTAGCTATGGTTTATGATGCACAAGCATTAACACTTCACAACATTTAGCATGTAATAGTGGTCAGGATTTTTATATTTTAAACAGGCGTAAAAAAAGATAACTGCGGGCTCAACATTAATGATGACATCAGGTCTTGGGATAATCACGCTGAACTGTAATAGTTGTAGCTTGCTTTTGTTTGTAAATGACGTCCTCTTAGGAAGTGAATTTACTAAATGAGGATTGATATTTAAATTATGTGCAAGTGTCAGAATGTATTTCCCATTAAGTTTTTCAAAAATATGCTTTCAGCTACTCTTCTATTTTATTCATTTAAATAGAAAATCTGAGAATGTTTCTTCACATCAATAAACAGTGGCAGATCCAGAGGGTAGTGTTGGAGGAGCTTTCCCCCTCCCCTGGCAGTGTCGGAAAAAATCCTAAGCAAGTGTGAAATCATTTAGATAAAATATAAAAATGGCTAAAATTATGAGAGCCCTCTGGGCACTCATAATTGGTAAGGGAACACACTCAATTTTCCCCCTGCCAAACATACGGTAGGTCTCACTCCCTCGTACCATAGTAATTTGATTGCTATTTGACTGCCAGTCGATTCAGTGGGTCAAAAAAATTCTGGATCTGCTACTGATGAAATAGTAGTATAAACAACCTCAAAGCAACTGTTGTCCATTAGTACCCATTGCTTGATTTTGTGCAATTCTGTAATGGGTTTGTAAGTTTTTGCTATGATGCGATTTCTATTATATATGTGCCATTCCATAACCTTTAAAAAAATGGGGGTTTTTTTTACGTAGCTACTGTACATTCAGTACGATGGTTTTAATTTAAATAAAACCCCAGTGTTGACCTTGAAAGATAGCTTTTCAATTGCAGTCTGAAATGTGATGCGTTTTGAGGCCTATAGCAATTTATCCTTGAAAATATTTATTGAAATGATGCAAATTTGGCCTTGAGTAATTTCTCCATTCCAGAGGAGGTACTAAATGAAGTTAGCTAGTCTCCAATTTCCAGTGGGTTTTGCAAAATGATGAGGTTATAGCTAGTCTCCACATTCCAGTTAATGTACCAAATAATGAGATTAGCTAGTCTCCACATTCCTTAAAAGTATTTTAGGAATGAGATGTACTGCTTAACTGAACTAAGTTACTACTTATGATTTCATAAGAATAAAACTGGTTTAATTCCATTACACTATATTATTAATGTACCGTAGTGTATATTTGTGTGTTGAGCTGAAAAAATATAATTCAATAATTTACAGTAATTACTTTGTATATCAGCAGGTTATATTAGCTGTTAATTAAATATAAGAATTATAATATATTTTCCTTGCCGATTAGTGCATAAACAATACCATTTATTAATTAGGACATCTGTAAGTTAGCAAAAAAATAAATTATTTTGGTCTGTGACTTGTTAGAAACCGTGAGTAGTATATCTTTCAATTTTTGCAACTTTGATTATGCATTATGATTTAATTTTTATTAAATATGCTTTGCCCTTATTCTGTAAAACCTCAAATAGAAGCCCTGGATGGGCTTCTATTCGAAATTACATTTGCAAGCCAAAGAGAGGGGCTTCTTTTCAAAACAAATGCTGTAAATATTTCAAATTTGCTATTATACGGCATTTTCCAACTATGGAATTCAAAATTCTGTTTTAATATTTCTTTATTTTAACCATGCTAGTACAATAAAATAATGTTGATATTAACACGCTATCATAATTAAAGATAACGTCAGTCTGAATGCAAGTACTGTCTTACAAAAGGAGCCCATACAATCTTGATTAGAAGCCCATGGGCTTCTTTTTGAGATTACTTTGGCAAACTAAAGAGGGAGGCTTTTTGAGTCCATTGGGCTTCTATTTGAGGTTTTACGGTATGCATTTAAAAGCAAATATATATTATGCTATTAATAGTAAGCATGCCTTATTATATGTGCATATAATAGCAAATATATTATGCGAGAAAGTACAACCATAGGAAACCATGAACTTAAGCTGTTTGCCAAGTGCACTTGTTTTTAAAGTGTTACTGTGTTAGCACCTTGAGCACTACTGCAGTGGATTTGTGCACTTTATAAATCTTATTATTATTATTATTATTATTACTGTCCTATATACTAAAACATAACTTTTCTTTGCAATGACATTATTTACTACTCTATGTTATATGTTATGATTTACTGTATATGTGGAAATTGATCGATTGTTAAACAGTAATGTTTGTATAATGCATCTCACATGTCTTTCAAATGTACATTGTGTCAGTCAATGCCAACACAATATTTATCTCAGCAGCTCTAGTTAACGTTGATGAACGACAATTATATGATTCTATATGAATGTGCAAATGTTATGGTACATTTTAAAATAAAATACCGTAAATTGATAAGAACAGGATTTATAAATTTGTTACTCTTGTGCTGAGGACCCTGATGATGATGATGATGTCATAAAATAGAAATATTTAGTAGAATTTCTATTTAGAATTTATTACCCACAACTTCAAAACAATTTTAAACATTCTGTTTACATTACAAAATGATTATTCTGTAAATATAAAAATACTAATATAAAACAACATTGGAATAAGCCTATACAGTAATAATCTAACTATAATAAAGGTGTATGATTAATTATAGTATTTCAACATAGTTTTTGTGACAATTGACAGCAGATATTTCATATAACATTATTTCCCACTATTCTACACAAGAACTATATAACGGTAAACATTCTTTTTGCATAACCAAATCACTATAATTTAAATACTGTATACCAATTATAAAAACATTGAATAGGCCTATCAGTAATAATAAAGCTTGTGGGTGCACCATTTTTTTTAATTCTTCATCATTAAGTTGCTGCCTTCAGCATTTTGAAGATTCTGCAACTTGATTGGTACAGCATGACCATACAGTGTTTTGATTTGTTACTTTCATCTGATAATATATTTCTTAGGGTTTTTTTTTTGTTTTTATATATATAGTGTTTATATATATATATATATTTATTTTTTATTTGTAAACTCAAACATCAAACCAACAAAAAAGTTTAAAGCCCAGTCTAGACTATCGAAGTTCATTTGACAAAAACAAGTGACATATGCCTAAATATGGTCATGATGACATCACATCATGACCATATATAGGCACATCATGACTATATATGGGCATACAACAATTTTTTGTCTAAGAAAATATGATAGTGTGGACAGAGCATTAACGTAATACCGGCCTGTTAACAGGAAGCATTCGATTGCACGATGACGGTAGGACGTAGAACGTAATGACGTCACTAAGTCATCTGCGCATGTGAGAACGTTAGGTTCTCGTTGTGTGGATTCTAGGACGCAATTTGGCCAAATCTACGTACGTAGAGAACGTAGGACCCTGATAGGACGGTCACACATTTGTGATTCCGTTCTAGCGTTGCTTCGTCGAACGAATTGAAAGCCCCCTAATGCCCATTATGAACTTTTTTAAAGGTGTTTCTGTATAAAATATTCAATTGAAGAATAGTCAAGTTGTCAAATTCAAATTGCTGATAACTTTGTTGAATAATCCTGACATCTGGTCTGAAAGAAGTCTATTGTTAACTATTCTTCATTTCGTGCTATTTCTTGGCATCATTTTCTTGGTCAAGTAAAGCCGATCTAATACCAATCTTCTTCAGTTCTTCTATTAAATCTCCACTTTGATGCATTTGAAGCATGATGTCACATCCTCCGACAAACTCCCCGTCCATGAACACCTGTGGGATTGTGGGCCACTCAGAGTATTCCTTGATTCCTTCAAAAACAAAAAGCATATTCAACATTTTATAATGTGGTATAAAAAATAAAAGCACAAATTTCACCATGTCCAATTATCAATTTGTACTACATGACCTGGACAGTACAAAAGTGGTAAAAATATGGTGAATCCAACATAAATAATAACAAAAACTACAGTACAAGCTAGAAATATTCTACACAGAATCTTTGAAGTTAACATGTTGTAATGTAATAATCATATCTCTTCTATGATACCATGTTATAAAATATGCTATTTTAATTATATTTACAGAAACTCAGAATTGGTAATAATTTAATGGACATCCCTGGAAAAAAAATATGTTAGTCCTGATGCCTATATATTAATATTTTTTAGTAATTAGTTTAATTTAGTAATTAAGTTTTAATAATTAAGTTAATCATCTCACCTTGCCGTAAATCATCATCATCCAAAACATTATGACTACTAAATTTAACATTGTGCATTCGTAGTATCTGTACCACTGCATTGCTAAACCCACACATCGGTTCTTCTTGGTGTCCCTTCATAAAAACCACCACTTTGTCGTCTTTTATTAACGATTCTATGTTTTCTTTTGAACCTGCATTGGCCGATAAATATCTAAATAATGACAAGCGTGGTAAAGACTGCCTCAGGAGAGGAGATAATCGAAAAATTGAGTTCATTTTATATCAACTTCTCACTAAAAAGAACGAGATATGATCGGTGATGTCTTAATAAACTTTGACCTTGGCCTAGGTTCAAACCCTATCGTAACTAAAAACACACCGGCCATTATTCATTATCAGCAAATATCAGTCCAAAATAAAAGTCTGGAAGATTGAAGGCTAGCGCCAACCAGACACAGGCCACAGAGCAGTGTTTGTTTACCAATTTCACCGGTGTCAATTGATCGTATAGTGTTAACTTTGTAGGCCTAGCCTAGGCGAACGTTAGCCGCAATATTATTTGTACTGTGCTTTCTTATGTTGGTATTTGAAGATTGATAATTATAATGCAAGAGGCTACAGAAACATTACGTACAGCCGTAGCGAGTGGCAGAACCGACATAGTACGATCACTGATTCATGCCGCAGGCGAATGTGAGTTCAGCCATCAGTTTAGGTAGAATGCGCGGGCTTGGCCCTAGCCTAGCTCAGGCCTAGGCCAAGCAAGACATAAAGAGTGGCATTGGCAAACAACTGCTTAGTCAAACATAATTTTGTAGGGAATTTAATGTCTATCAATTTATTTATGAAAAAGGATTGTTTAAATTTTATTTAGTTTTAGTTAGGATTTATTTATAATTAATTTTAAAATTAAAATGCTGATGAACAGTGTTGATTTATAATATAATCACAGGTCATGACAGATAGGCCCTGTTGAATTAAATTGGCTGTCATTAATTGTTTCACACACATTCTGCTATCTCTTAAAAAATATAAACATCCTGAGCTCACTGTCTTGTATTATTGGCCGTTGGGTGGCGCATGTGACTCATGATGTGTGTCTGGACACACTCCTCAAGGTTAAATTCTACATGTGACTAGAAGACGGTAGCGGGTCAAAATGGCAATTAACCAAACGGCAATGACCAAAACGGCAATAACCAAAACGCCAATAAACCAAAACGCCAATAAACCAAAACGCCAATGATACTGCAAGTACCAAAAACGGCAGAGCAAGATGGTAATGACAAGTACCAAAACAGCAAAGGAGCAAAATCAACGCCAAAAGCAAGCGTCGCTGGGCACGGGCTGCAGTTTATAAGTTTTTCACATCGCCTTGAAATTGGCCCGAATTGGCAAATCGAATGTATACCATGGGCTCTTTTCCTGCTTTTTAATCGCATTTTAAAAAATTGTTTACGCATCCATGATGTATTGTTTAGATGCCTCATTTTTTCTGTATTTCAAAGTTTTATTTATTTGAATGTTTTTACTGCTCTTACCATATATTGTTTCCCCCAATCTGTTTACTAATTGAATTGATATGTTATTATATTTTTATTAGGCATATTATTATAATTATTATTATTATTATTATTATTATTATTGTTTTTTTGCATTTTTTACTTTTATGACATGAATTGTTTTAGCCTCATGTTGCCTTTTGGTTTTTTTGCCATTTTGGTTTATTGCTGTTTTCACTTCTTGCTGTTTTGGTCAATTGCCCTTTCATTAAAAAAGTGTTGCTGTTTTTGTTTATTGCCCTTTCATTAAGAAAGTGTTGCCGTTTTTGTTTATTGCCATGTTGGTCATAGCGGTTTTGACTTATTTGCCATTTTGGTTTATTGCTGAGTTGACTAGAAAGTGACTAGGTTGTAGACAGTGAGTAACTTTTGAATTATTCATATAATAATATTATTTTTATTATTCACTTTCTTAGGTGAAGAAAATGATGAAGCTGAAATAAAAGTGTTAGAGGTTCTGAATGCAAAGATTTCTGGTGAAGGAACTGCTTTGCATCAGGCATGCAAGGTACAGTATGTTCACTGTACATGCCAAGAAAAATATTCAAATAAAATTTTAAAATTCGAAACTAAACCAATGAATTTTATTTTTTTGAAGTTTTTTTAGCTCATTACAGCAGGTATATCCATATTTAAAAAAAAAATCAAAATACAATTAACAAAAAATATTAATATATGTTACTGTTGGTATTATGTCTAAAAAATAGAGGAACAAATTGAAATCTGAAAATAATTATCTTAAAATTATTTTAGCATGGACAGGCTGATATCGTTCGCACTCTGTTACTGTTTGGAAGTGACCCAACAATTAAAGACGATCAGGGAAAGATGGCCTATGATCTTGTTGATACACCAAAGGTTAGATCTGCCTTCAATGATGCATTTTTCCAAGCAGTTGGTCAAAACAGGTAATGTATTCATAGATACGATTAAATCTAATTTGAAAACATCTAGGACGATTATAGTCTTGTGATTCTTAGTCATTCTAACCATGGACTCTAGAGAGGAATTCAGGTCACTGGGAATTATTATGTCCCTGAGAATTTTAATTTGAGTTCCTATGAGTTTTAGTTTACGTCTTTGGAAACTTTAATTTTAATAATCACATCAATCCCTCCCAGAGAGAGAGTTGTAAGCTTACATACACAATCATAAAAAAATTAATGATAATGGTGAAGATATTAATATACTTTACATCTAAAATTACACAAAATGCCAAATTAGACCCTGAATAGTTTGATAATACGGTAGACACATCACCATCTCCTTTATGCAAATTTAGTATGTTTTAATTCATTATTTACAGCATGATTGTTGATCAAGTAAACATACTTGATATTTAATGTATGAGAGGTCATAGAGCTAATATTTATAAAGGCTTTGTGTTGCCTTGACAACCAACCTAGTTCTTTATTATATACTGTTTGTATTAATAATACAAATGAGTGACTTTTCTTGGAAGACTATTAATGTATTGAGTTTATAATAGCATAGATCTATTTTACCATTTTTTCAATGCATCATACTGCTACCATTGGATAGCTCAGTTTATGTATTTGGTGGCTTTGTTTTGCAGGTGTACTCTTGTGTGTCGACTTATAGAATGTGGACTTGCGTTGGATGCCATAGATACAGAGGGTAGTGGTAACACACTGCTCCACTGGGCAACATCATACAGTAACCTGAGGATGGTTAAGTGCCTACTAGGTGAGCCAGAGGCTATGGAGTAGTGATCACAATTATGATGTGACTTTAATGATAATGATTATAATGATAACTAGGCTGATTATAATAATGATGATGATGCTAATTAGATGATGATTTTGAGAATGCTGATGGTTGTGATGCTGATAATATCGATGATGTGATTCATGGTGTTGATATTCTTATGATGATGAATATAATGATTAATATCAGTGAAGGTAATGTGATGGTGATAATGATGATGATAATGATGACAAGCAAAATGACGATTATGATGGTGATAGTAAAAAAATAAAAATTTTTTTTCACTAATAAACAAACTGAAAATTCCATTTCTATATTCTCTTCATATACCCTTAAATTGGCTGGTAATGTCAGAATTTTTGTAGCTCAGTTTTGACAGTAAATCTTTCCATACTATGTGTGCCTCAGTAAATGTTAATTACTTATTTTAATTTTTTGAAACAAGTTATTTAACGAATGTAAATCATATAGCAAAAGCGTCCCTTGGTTATATATATAAAAAAAAGTAAAGTAATATAGAAAGGAAGTGCAGTTGTTAGTAAAGTTTTGAAACCTATGCACATTTTCAGATCATGGAGTTGATGTTAATCGAAAAAACAAAGATGGTGCTGTACCGTTACATGATGCAGTGTCCAGAAAGGATGTTGATATTGTGAAAGAGTTAATTCTATTTGGTGCAAATCCACATGTTTCAGCCTTGTCTGGGTATGTTAAGTTTAATGTTATTTTTAGTGTTCATACCTGCATTATCATCACAAATAATACAATATGTACATTAAATATTAACAACATAAATGGAATGAAAGACTTCAAAATTCAAGATTCAATTTATTCAGTCCAATAAAATGGAAATAACATTGAGTACATTTCATTTCCATTAAATATTTAAAATACTTAATATATAAAAATACAATAAAAAAATGCAGTACAATAAGATATAAAATACAATACAAGATTTGAAAAACACCAAAACACAATAAAAACACCTACAGGGTACATTTCATTGAAATATTTATAATACTTGATAACGACAATAAAATATGCAGTACAATATTAAAATACAACAAGATAAACAACAACAAAAACAAACACCAAAACACTGAAAATGCCTAAAACTTCCAGTTAGATTGAAAATAAATAGTAAAATTATAATAAAATAAAATTAAATACTGTACTGTGACTACTTTGCTAGAATTCTGATTTATATCATTTTTGATTGTATTATCTTATTTTTACCATTTTATTACCATTTACTACTACTTCAAAGTTCATTAATGTTAAGCTAATAAATAATGATTGTAACATAAACGTAACTCGAAACAGCAAAACACAAAATCAGGACACCTGAAGAAATGTACTCCTGACGCAAGCAAGTGCAGTGCCACCAAATGATGTTGAAAGAAGACAAGTGTTAGGACTATGCATTAATGGGCATGGGCTGGAGGTGGTGGGAGGGTGTGCGGGGGTGTGGACACCACATGGCAGCAAGTTAGTTCTACTAAGTGGGTTAAAATACTGAAAAATGACCATTAAGTTTTTATTGGAATAGGGACTTAGTTTCGCATTTTAGGATTTAGTTCCACATTCTCATTTTTCGCGCCTACCAAGGCTAAAACCATTCAAGTAGGGGTGTCCAAGTTTCGTGGCACATCTGCTTGAATACATCAGAGTAATTGTGGTTAATGTGGTAGTTTAGTTTGACAAGAAATAAGACAATGACAACCACGAACGTTCCAGGTTCTTTTAATCATCAGTTTAGAGATTCATGATCACCAATTACCATGTCGATGTGCACACATCGACACAACAAAAATCCCCTGTAAAACAGCAGAATTACAGTCTCAATACATACATTATTATTGTATCATACATTTGCAACTATCAATATCACTGTACGACAAAGTTACTCACGTACAGCATTACTACACCATACTATTATATCAATTAAATCATTACAATCTTACCTAACCATTACCTAACTACAGGTATATTAATGCATAGGTAAATAATGTGTATACCTGGATTTAAACAATAACTAACTTTGGAGGAACACAACCGTCATTAACCGCCTCTACACCATTCTACCGTATTCATTTTTGAAAATGAACCATTATAATTGATTAATGATGAAAAGATAACGAAATAATTATTTAAATGTAAAACGAGTTCAATAATACACCCTAAACCGGCAAAATGTACGGTAACGATGGAAGTGTTCAACAGCCAGCAACCACGTGAAGACCAATATATATACCCAGACAAGCAAGATCATTACGCGCATACAGTACGTAACATTCAGACAACTTAATCAAGTACCTGGATGCAATACTTCGCGATGCAATTACTACACACCAAGAAAGAGGTCAACACGTTTACCCGCTCTTCCACATTAAGATTATGTGTAATTTTAGGTAAGATGTCCAGGGTGATCATATAACATTAAAACTGCATCTGGTTTGGCTACTGGCTACTATCACAAGTATCCCTATTATGATTCTCTTCCTGGCTTTCGTTTCATTTTATTTGGCATTACATTAAAATATAAAGTACAAAAAATATCAAAATAGAAAGATACAATAGCAAAAATGTCATAAGTTGTATAAAATATTTCATCAAAAATAAATTTGAGTTACCTTGAACATCATATACCACGTAAAAAATTGCTATTAACAAACAGAAAACAGATATTAATGCCAGGATAACCCGTGAAAGTTCTGAAGAACTTGTTTCCAACGGGGTCCTAAAATATCACATAGAAACAAAAACGGAGACAGACAAAAGAAGTGGTATATGATGTACAAAATAAAACAATTAAATAAAAAGGATGACCAACTGTACCAACAATGTTATCAAAGCAACAATAAAAACAAGATAATTAAAGAGTAAGAGAAATATTACGGAATCTTTTATCAAGGTGATGCTTTAATTTTATTTTAAATACGTTGAGTGATGTTGATTGTTTTATGTATGATGGCGGTGAATTCCAATGTTTGATTGCTGTATAATAAAATGTTGTATTGTTGGGATGTTTATTACATGTGGAATGCGAAAGTTAAACGAGCTACCTCTAGTAAAATGGTTATGTAAACTATTGAATCGTGTGAAATGATTTTGTAAATATTGTGGGCTAAGTTGATGAAAGATTCTGCAAACATGACACAATTTAGAAAATTTGAATCTATCGGAAATGCTTAATAAATTGAGACCAGAGAGTTGACGAATGACCAACGTGTGTCCTAGCACCAAGTCCTAAAATTAAACGGATGGCTTTATTTTGTGTTATTTGAAGTTTCTTAGCCAGCATTTTGTTTAAAGACGAAGACCAGGAAGAAGAAGAAGCATAGTCAAAACAAGGTTGAATTAGAGAAGAATACAAAATTTTAATAGAATGAGTTGTTAGAAGTTGAGAATGTTGTTTAATGAATTTCAGTCTGCTGGGGAGGAAGTGGAACAGTAAGAACATTAACTGTTGAATAAAGAGCTGAGGAGCTCCACAGATTCAGTAACCAACCATGTTTTTGTTTAAGGACTAAATTCAGCATTATTTTCTTTGTTTGGAAGAGATGTAATGTTACTTTATATTATCAGTTGCCTCGAGTAATCCGCTATATAAACAACTTTTATTATTGCTGACAATCAGTTACAAGAACTAGTTTCCTGTCATTTGTGAGTGCATATTAATTATATTATTGGGATTTGTTGTATCATTCCAGAATCATTCAAATTTTTTTTCATAATCAATATTTAGCAGATTATTGATTCAGATTCTTCATCCTTTTGTAAAGTGGAAGTATAAAGACATGACATAAAATACTATGACTTAAATTATGCATATGCAACAATAACTTTAGAATATATATTAAATATTTGAATTAAATTGTTTATCAAGGAGCATCTCTTTGTAAGCACTAATAGGGGGATGCTTTCGATGGTGCTGCAGCTATGTAGGTGGTTGTCTTTAAAAACTCATTGGTATAACCGGCCATTTGTTAGGATTGAATTCACTCTCACGTTTGTAATATCATATTAACAGTTGTAATATCACCATCATATTTAAAATGATTGTTTGCATATTGGTACCAAGCATCAATAATAACACAAAAGGATATCAATGAGCAAAAATCCATTTTCCCAGGGGCTTTCCCAGGGGCTTTCCCACGCAACAAAGGCTGCCAACACAATGGAAGCCCATTGCTCTGGTCAGTCATCCATTGAATAAAAGAAATTGAATGATCATCTCAAATTCTTTTGTACAGTCAGTTTTAACATAGAGAAAGGTCTATCATCCAAATTGATAATGGTCTGTATCAGCGTTCCGCAATCCTTTAGACTGACGGCCCGGAAATTTAGTTGCAACACACTACCATTATGCACAGATGCATATTTTAGGAAGAGCTAGGCCTAAATTGTGTTTACGTTACAGATGTTTCATTTCAGAGTATTTTAACTGCCCTTGCATTATACTGGTAGGTCTACTGGTACTAATAGCCGTCTTTGCAAGGACATTTGGCAGACATTGACTTGAGGTTGTCATTAGTAGAATACTGCTTTTAAAACTACTGTATATAATTTGAAGCGAACCAACAGCAAAATTAAACACTGAATATTATTACAAAATAACACATGTTTTCATGTATTTCAATGCCAGTATAATGATAGTGACAGACTAAAGCTCAATGAAGTCTTCACATACTTTGAGGTGGGGGATAAGTGGGTCCAGAGTTTAAAGTACAGACTGGTACAGTATATCGCCATCATTCTGGAGTTGTCAACTGAAGTTTTAGGAAGGCGATGCGGTCTGCTTTGCGATACCGAGGCAATTGTTCAATCTGGTGTGGTGTTTGTAATTGCCTTCAGAATTATCTGGTAGATTTACAAATTTCTAATCTCTAAAATATGTAAAAACCCAACCCCAAATTGATGATGTAGCATTAACACCTGTTTATATACATCCTTAATATTAACAATACATCCAAACACCTGTTGTTTGATAACAATGTTTGGATTTCTCAACTGTTAAACTGTGTTTGTTTCGTGGCAGTTTATTTTGGATTTTGTAAGTTTTCTGCTTAGAAAATTTCCTATTGGATTAGAGGGGTGGTGGAGGATGCGGTTTGCTCAGATATTTGTGTGTGTTTCCTGTGTCACCATACATACACCTGATTATGTGTGTATATGTGTGTGTAGGTCAGTAGTTACTAGTTTTAAAAAAATAGGTTAAACATTCAGATCATAAAAAGCATCAAAAACATTTAATACAATTACAGAATTTTTATTAAAAGAAGAACATTCACTCATTCGCCCCTGTGGTGGACGATAAGAGTTGCTGGTACCGGGTTACTGGGTAGCACAGACACGAAGGGACCCTTAGGGACGAAGAAAGCCTTGATCGAGTTCGTAGTCCACATATCAAGCGCCCTGAGCATCTTATGTTATGTGCGCTATATAAAATTACATTATAATAATAATAATAATAATAATAATAATAATTCAATGAGACTAATTAAAAATAATTTGCGTTCTGTTATGACAAATGCTCATTTTGATAGCCTCATGATGGTTGGAATACATTGTGACAGGTGAAGCAACCTCGACCATGAAAGCGTGGTTGACAGATTTCATGCAAAATTTCCAAAATATAGAATTTCACTTAATTAGATGGTTACATTGCAAACTCTTTGTTTCTTGTTTCATTCAAAATGTTTTGGTTTTGGAAGCTGATTTCAACATTAGAAAGCATAGCCTACATGAAGTCATATTATAGTAACTCGATTCCCCCCTCCCCGTCGGGGCCTCTAGCCCCTCCGTCGGGCAGGTCCTGGTGCCACCACTGCATGTTAATGTCCTGCATCTTTCCTACTTTGCAAGGAGATCTTCAGACAGTTTTGAAGAGGAATCTCACAATTTATGTTCAACAGTTTTTTCTGTGTACCTAATTTTCATTTAAAAAAAACCAGGCATCTTAAAGGCTAGAAAGGCGGATACATTACATAAATTAAATATATTTGTAGAGATTTAGAGATTTACTTATATATACTAAGTTTGCATTGGTTGATGATTTAAAATGTGTTAGAGATTACAGATTATTTAGTTAATTTAAAACGTTCAGGTATATACTTTTATTGTTGAAACATGTTTGTGTGCTTTGAAAAAAGAACAACACATTCTTTAGGGTTTGCTTTAGCAGGTCATGATCTACAGTGACTGATAATCTTTGGCAATACCGATTAGCTGCATTCAACTCAACTACAATAGATACACAATGCACTCATTCAAGCGCTTGACAGTCCCATATGGAAATTGGATAAGATTATTCTTGTTTTATGCTTGAAGCCCTCATAATTGAAGAGGTTTCCTGCTAACTCACAAGTATTTATTCCTCTGAAGTCATCTTCTCCCAAAAATGAGGTATATTTTGATATATTTTTAAAATGTATTTTTGCAATTATTTGCAAAATTGTTGAGCTACACCTGACAGTACAGATAGGGAGAGAGGTTTTTCACCTTCGTGTTTCATATAGATGTTAAAAAGCTACTGTGTGGCCTTGATCACAAGTCTGTAAGACTCTATTATATTATTGTTAGTGCCTGTAGCCATGAAGCAGCAAACCCTCAATGGAGCTTCAAGGTGCCTGGTAAATGGAGCAGTAATGCTGGTTCTTCTTTTTTGTAGGATATTTACTGGCTTAGTTTTCCAAACTTTTCTTTTTCCACTGTTAATTTTCTCATGCGCATTTCTTGAAAATGGATATTTGCTTTACAAATCTTTAATTATTATTAGTAAATTTTTCGGTAGGGATATTTTCTCATTAGTTTATTGTATTATATTAATTAGAGTTAATATTTTTACCCTTCCCCAGTGGACCTACCATAACTGTACTATTCCCAGGCCTGTAACCAGTTGGGAGGGGTTCTGCTGAACCCCCTTTTTGAACATTGTAGTGGTATTTTTTCATAACCTTTTTCTAAAGAAACACTTTTGAGTTAAACTTGGCCCATAGGAAACCCGCTTTAACATGAACCTGGTTACTGGGCTGCTATGCTCTATGCTGACTTTTAAATTGGGAACAAAACATCAACTGCTTTTTTTAGTGGTAATGTTTGGCACTAGTAATAATACATGTGGAATGAAACATACAAACTAGCATTATTCCAGCTTTGTTTATTACTTGACTAAGTGGACTGACCAGGAAGTTAATACTTTTGAGATGAATTATGCTGATATTTCCTGTGTTTTAAATAATGTTTTTCTGAGAAGAAATCCATTCAAGGTTAATAAACCACTTAAGCTAGACTGTAAATGTTAAAGCGATTAACAGAAACATGACATACTGTACAAAAACATTTCATGGGAAATTTTAGATACCAGGTAGAAAGATAGATGGACAGATAAACAAATGAATAGATAGACATGAATAGATTGATAATTAATTTTAAATTTTATGATTTTTTTTTTTCAGTGAAGGGAAATATGGTATAGGGTCAATATATACTGTAAGCAGGGTTTTTACAGGTTTTGGAATACAGTATCAAAGAAAGTTATAGAAATTCATTTTAGTGTTTTCCCGGACATTGAAAATCATAGAAAAGAACTTCTGTTATGGAAATTTTATTGAAATAATATTGACTATGTAGTATCTAAGTAAGATAAGTTGTATATTTATTATTTCCTGTGAATAAAACGGTTGTAGAAATTCATGGGTCTGGAAATATCAGTAAAAACTATGGAAGTTTTTGTGATACAAGGTGTACCCTGTGCTAGCATACAAACAACACAAGATAATAATAGCATCAAAAGCAGTTTATATTGCTTTAAACATAAAAGCATTTTTCCAAATTGTAATATATACTTCCATAACATAGTTTTTATTTGAATAAACCATTTGAGAATGGTTTTTGAGGAGGCGTTTATTCGATGGAGGTGTTTACTGTATTCGATGGAGGTATTTAATTTTGTTGGTGTATATACTCAAATAAACACTCCTTATTTCACTGTAAATGTGGAACCACAACACATAATTACCATCAAAACGTGTTATTGCATTTTAATTTATCAAATCTCCAAATTTCTTTGTATTTCCAGCCGATTTGAAGGCAAGACAGCACTTGATGTTGCAGGGGATGACGAGGGATTACTGAATGCCATGAAAAATGGACTCCCAAATGGACACCTTGTTAACGATGATGGTGGCAAAATGCAAGGTAAGGTACAGTAGTTTCAAGGTCCCCTGGAGTGTAGGTGTAACTCTGGCGGTATGTATATACCTGTATGTGTCACCTTTTCACCAACATCTAATCATCCTTAGTAGTTTAGTACATTAGGACACCTTTGAATTTTATTTATTATTATTATTCTTTTTTTATTTGCAGAGTCCATAAAACTGTTTCTATGTGCTTGTGTATCATCAATACTCTTTATTTTAATGGTATATTCCTCTTTTATCCAGAGCCACCAAAAAAGGAAATAAAAAATGAAATTGTAAATGTACCTGCTGAAGATGTTAGTAACTCCAAAAAAGTACAAACACCAGATGCCTCAAAGAATAAGCAAACAAAAGTAGTGTTGAAAACAAACAACGTAGCAGCAGCAACAGCTGAAGTACTAATCACACCTGACACATCCATTGATTCAGTAAGTGTATGAATTTATCTGTTGTCTGCCTGTCTGTTCCTCTATTTATTTGCAGGCAATAAAATATAGACACACAAAACAAGTTAAAAATAGTCAATCGGATTACCTAAAATAATTAATACATCATCATTGTTGTCATCATCATGGCCATCATTGTTTTGTTTTATTAACCAATTATTTTTTCTTTTAAAAAAAAGCTGTATGCAAGCACTGTAAAAATCATAAAAATCAGAGTTGGTTGGTCAAGATTTGTAATATTTTTTTTTTAATTTTTAGACCTTGGCCATATTCAATAAGTTTTGGCTAAATATTGTAAAATTGTAACCTATGGGTTAAAATCTAAGGTGATGTTGTCAAATTATTGAAAGCCAGTTGTCCTAACTTCGCTTTTTAAAAAAGCAGACCCTAGAATATTTAGAGTTTGGTGTGTGTCACTTTTGACATACTTTGTCTTCTGTTGTTTCTTTCAGCTGTCAGAGTCCTTCTCGAAGCCCATGTTCCAGCAGCCTAATTCTAATGATGTTCGTCTTGATAAGCTTTGGCCTCAGCCTCAACGACTGATGGAGATCGAGGGCAATCCGTTACATTTGCCAGAATCTATACAAGTGCAATTAATACCTTCTGCCAAAAGTGGTAAGATTTAACGGTGTAGTTAATCATTAATTAATCAATTGATTGATTGAATAATTGACTGACTGATTGACTGAATGATTGACTGACTGACTCACTGATTGACTGAATAAATGACTGATTGACTGACTGACTGACTGACTGACTGACTGACTGACTGACTGACTGACTGACTGACTGACTGACTGACTGACTGACTGACTGACTGACTGACTGACTGATTGACTGGCTGACTGATTAGTTGACTGACTGAATTATTGACTGACTGAATGATTGACTGACAGACACTGACTGATTTATTGATTGAGTAATTAACTAATTGACTGCCTGATTGGCTGATTGACCAATTTATTGATAGATTGATTGAAACATTGATTGACATACATAATTATTCTATCATAAAATTAATATCTCTTTATTATAATTAAGTAGTATAATATGTGTCAATTTCTTTATTAATATATTTTTTTTTCTAAATAGTGAATTATATAAATTTGTAATTTTTTATTTTCAAATTTCTCCTTGTATCAGCTGTTACTGAAATGGTGGATATATGGAATACACTGAGCTTATCTTTTGAGGAAATTGGTTATCACATCATTCTACAAACGTTGGATCCAAGCTGCTCTAAAAAGCCAGATGTAATATGTCATCTGAACCGTATGCTATTCTGCAAAGATGGAAGCTATCGCCTTACCATCAATCAAAGCCAGGTAAGAAATATTATAGCCGAACAAAGGGTGGATAAGCTCCACAGAGTCTATGGCTAATTATGCTTATTATAAAGAGTAGGCTTTGTTTTTTAGATTAAATCCAGGCTTCAGAGAAAAAACATTTGTTGATATGTTGTACAACAGATTTTTGAAAGACACAAAAAGCATATTTGACAAAAATAAAAACCCGGGAGTTAATGAGTTTCAGATTTTTGAATAATTAAAAACCTGGGGAAAAAGTCATAATGACGTTAACCATGCAAAGAATACGGTACAATCTTTCTAATACTCATGAGAAAATATTCCTAGTAATTCAGCATTCAACCCTGCAGATATTAATTTTCAATCACCTCTTTCAAAGGGGAGTATTCCTAGTAATTCAGAATTCAACCCTGCAGAGATTTATTTGTTTGTTTTTATTGTATTTACCACACACATATAAAATATAAATTAATTAATGATAAATATTACGATTAAAATTAGATTTTCTAAACAAAAGCAGAGGGAGAGAGGAAGAAAAAGGAGTGCGCGGTTATAGATCAAAATAAGTTTGTAAAATTTACCATCCATTACCCCTTTCCAAGGGGATTATTACTGGTAATGTAATATTTATATGTTCAGAGAAAAATTTTCCTCAACCCTAGTAGAATATTACTAGCATTACAGCACATTGTGTAATTCAACTTCTGGCCACCCCCAGTGGATTATATCTAGTAAAGCATCATTTTGCCATCCAGCGATTTGTAGGGGAGGTTTTATATTGATGAAGCATTATGAACTCATTTTTTTATTTTTCATGTAAATCTGCAGGTTCAGATATCAGCTAGTGATTTGTCAGGTTTATGGAATTGTCTGTGCACATTACTTCAAATTATCCGTTTATGTAAGGAAGATGGCATACCCCCTCTACAGGTAAGGCATCAATATTACATCACCATATTTGAAACTTGCTGGTTAATGGATTGACTAAATGACTAATTAATTAATTGGTTGATCAATTGATTGAGTAATCAATTGATTGATCTATCTATCTATGGCGAGTCGTTTGGCCAAGTGGTTAAGGCAGGGGCACTGCAACCTACAGCCAAAATATCGGCATGCTGGTTCGAGGTGGAACAAGCCTTCTTGGATAAGGACTATAAACCGTAAGCCCAGTGTACATAATTGCACAATAATGCGCACTATAAAGAACCCAGTACATCTGTCAAGGCAAGTATCCATACAGCCCCTGTTGCAGACAGATGAGCGTATATGGTACCAGTTTACCGGCCAGCTCAACACGAAGAGACCCTTAGGCGAGAAGAATATTACTGCATGAGCAGCTGTGGTTCACGCTTTGAATGCTCTGATCTTATGTATGTATATATGTGTGTATGTATCCATTGGATGATGGCATAATTTGTCTATTGATTTATTTATTTATTGGGTGTGTGGTTTATTTGAATTGATTGATTGGTTGCTTGATATATTGCTTATTAATTGATTGATTAGGTTGTGACTTGATTGATATATTGAATACTTTTAATTGTTTTTTCTATAAGATTTCTGATTGGCCAGATGTGTTGTACAGAGGTGTGATGTTTGACATTTCATGTGGCAGAGTCCCCAAAGTGGTAATTACAAACATTTGCATAATATTTTCATTATTCAATCAATAAAAACACCTCCGTTAAACCAATAGGAATACTTAAAATATCAAATATGTAAATAATATCTTGATTAATAATAATAATCCAGTAAAAATGTCATTTGAAATTAAATAGTAAATATTATGTACTGACTACATAGATTCTATATTGGTTAAAAGCCGGGAAATAGTTCCAGCAATGCCTTCCTACAATCCTACAATGCCAACAATCTATGTAGTGGTATATAAAACTAATATTTACTGGGATTTTAATCGGTCATAGTTCAAATTGTAGCTCTTAGTGATCCGGAGCCTGTACCGTGTCCCTCGACTTCGTCTCAGGAAATGCTACAGCCTCCAAGGGCTATAATTTGAACCATGCCTCTCAACCCAGTAAATATTTGTATACTATGTGGATTAATAAACCAAAAAAAATGCTTCTTAAATCAAATATGTCAATAATATCTAGAATAATAGACCAATAGAAATCCTTTTTATGTTAAATATATAGGAATATAATATGATAAATAATGTTTTTTTTTTTCTTTTTAAGGATTTCTTATTATCACTGATTGATACTTTATCCTTACTGAAATTTAATCAGGTAAGTACTGTCCAAATTTTATTATCAATCTTTTTGGTACCAGAATTTATGATAATAAATAGTTCTATCCAAAAGATATGTGTGAATAATTTTATTTTTTTTTTCTTTAGTTGCATTTATACATGAAGATTGGCTATGATTCCAGTATGGATATAGTTACAATGTACACACCTAGGTAAGTTTCCAATCTGTATAAAGGTTTAAAAAAAAGATGCTCTCAATGTCATTGAAGTATTGTTAGCAATTGAGATCTGTTTAGCTGAGCTAACCATTTTCAAACACTCAGTGCTCTCTATATTTTTAACAAAGGAAGAACTGCTAAATTTTATGGCTTTTTGAGAGTGCACAGCTTATCATGGAGTAAATTTTAATGAGCTGCTGTATAACCAAATCTTTTTCGTCAAGTGGAGAGCAGATCATATGTAACCCTTGAAACTATGTTTCTTTATGAGATTTGTTGTGAAAAAAACATTTGTTTTTGTCAGGATTGGATATTGATAGGCTAATACCTCAAATGTTTATATAATTTTTTTTTTATATCCTTTTTTTTTTAGTGAATTGTTAGACATCGACATCTACTGTCAGTGTCGGCAAGTGCAACTTATCCCACATATTGATATGTACCAGAATAGCACCCTCAACGTCAAGCAGTGCTCACTCATCCATAGCATTATCTCTTGTTTCCCATCATCTAGGTGAGTGTTAAGTTTTGTCCACACTATCAAGTTTTCTTTGACAATAAACAGTTGTATGCCCATATATAGTCATGATGTGCCTATATATGGTCATGATGTGATGTCATCATGACCATGTTTAAGCATGTCATATTTTTGTCAAAATGTTATGGTCTGGACAGGGCTTAAACTGTATATTTTTTGTAGAACTTTGAATAAAAGACACATTTTTGGCCTCGAAGCAAGGCAAAATATACATTTTAACACTATAGCTAGCCCTTAATCAGGGGACACCTCTATTGAAGGGACACTTAAGGTTCTGAAGCTATCTCTTTATTATTAGGCATTCTACTGTAATTATACATGATTTCAAATTTGGATTTAATTTAGAGTAAATTTACCTATCTTGCTTCTTAATTTACTTGCTGTTAAAATGCATTGATTGTATCAGCTTGCCATGCCAAAGCCAGCTTCAGAGACCAAACAAGAAAATTGGTTTTTTTAATGTATTCATATTCTGCACATTATAAGCTTAAAAATGATAGGTCATTTACTACATATTGCCAATGTTATCAGTTTAACATTTTTGGATGGCAAGTCTCATAGGAATTCTAATGTAATAATAGATGGATTTATATAACGCAAATAAACAAGGTCTCTATGCGCTCGACAATAGGTAAAAAGATGATTAATTTAATAAATAGTGTTAAACTGTAAATCATTTTCATTTAGAATCCTATAAATAGTAAAACTTCAGTTCAATAGATGCAACATACTATGATTTTTTTTCAAGACCAATAGTGATAATTGTTGATTTTTTTTTTGTCTTTAGGTTTATCAATTTTGGTCCCAAGATGACGAACCTCCTCTTCCCCACCATCACTGAAGAGGCAAATACCACTGACAGCATTCAAGCTATGGGTGTTGAAGATAAACTGAAATTACTAGGTGTTCGTGAAACACATATTGTCCAATACTGTGCAAACCTAATACACTCCACACCCCAGGACATTGCTGCCTTGCCCCCTGGGAGTATTGCAATGGAATATGGATACGAGGTCAGAAGAATATTTTATATTTTTTGTTTAAATGTTTAATATAATATTGTTATCCTCATTACTCTATATGACAGGGGTTTCTCACGTTTCTCACCTAAAAACATATCTTCACAGACACAGGCACAAACTTGTATTGAATCTAGTAAAAACTAACTTTATAATATTCAGACCCAATCAGAATAGATGCCCAGTGGACGTATTACCACAAATTAACAATGTCCAATTACAAAGGAAAATTGAACATACATTCCTTGGTGTGTTACTACACGAAAACCTTGATTGGAAAAGCCATATAAAATACATTGCAAATAAGATTTCAAAGTCCATTGGAGTAATTTCCAAAGTTAAACAATGCTTTCCTAGAAACATCCTTGTTAACCTTTACAATTCATTGATACTGCGCTATCTTCAATACTGCAATGTTGTGTTGGGAAACGATTTCCCTTCAAATCTTGACAAACTTTTCAAGTTACAAAAACGGGCAATTTGGATCATCACGGCTTCATCCTACCAGACCAGCTCCCAGCCACTTTTCTACATGCTTGACCTTTTAAAACTCTCAGATCTTAACAAGGTGTAGGTACAGTGGTGGCGCCAGAGGGGATGGGGGGCTATAGCCCCCCTGTCGGGGAAGCATATCTCCCCTGTCAGGGAAGACGATAAATTTTGTCGGGGAACAAACAAACAAACAAAAATTATTTACAGGTAATATTCGTTTAGCCACCATATTGTTTGTGTTAACTTTTCATCACAACAACAACAACAATAATAATAATAATAATGATGATAATTCAATGAGACTAATTAAAAATAATTTGCGTTCTATTATGACAAATGCTCATTTAGATAGCCTCATGATGGTTGGAATACATCGTGATAGGTGAAGCAACCTCGACCATGACAGGCCATGGTTGACAGATTTCATGCAAAATTTCCAAAATATAGAATTTCACTTTCAAGAATGAGGATTTGAAAATATATTAGATGGTTACATTGCATAATCTTTGTTTCTTACTTTATTCAAAATGTTTTGGTTTTAGGAGCTGATTTCAACATTAGAAAGCATAGCCTACATGAAGTCATAGTATAGTAACTCGATGCCTATCAAATAAGTAATAAAAATTCGCCATAATTCATCAAATACCCGTGTCAATGCCCCCTGGACCCCCACCGGGAGCCCTAGGCAGCCCCCTAGCCTCCAGCCAAGTGAGACTTGATCTGCTCCACTAGATCCCCCCCCCGTCGGGGCCTTTAGCCCCTCCGTCAGGCAGGTCCTGGCGCCACCACTGTGTGGGTAGCTTGTTTTATGTTCAAATATATCAATCACCAGCTTATATATTTTGTGATAACATCAAACAAGTACACAGGCACCAATTAAGAAGCTCTATGGAAGTATATTTGTAAGACTATCGAAAATTCAATCTTTTCTTTCAGTTCATGATCCCCATGTCTGGAACAATATAAGTAGTGATTTGAAACAATCTATTTCTGTGACAAAACTAAAATGTATACAAAAGGCAAATTATTCTACAGTACTATTAATAAAAAATCCATCTGTGTGATTAAACATAAAATGTAAAGTACAAATGGCAAATTATCTACAGTACTCTCAAAAGAAAATCCAATGGATGATTGAAATTAACTAAAATGCTCTTTAAGAAATAATTACGATAGTTCACCTAAATTATTATATATATATTCGTCTTTATTTATTTTTTATTTTTTTTTTTTCATGTGTACATGTCTTTGTTAAGGGGCAGTTTAGACAAGCTTTCTGCTTTTTAACTGTCCCTTGTCCACTTTGTAATTTTACTTTGAATGATAAATGTTATACTTTCGAATTTGTGTGGATTAATTAATGTTCTATTGTTCTATTGAATACATTTTTGATAGGCTTTTCTGTAGTAGTAGATTGTTCACTTTAATAGTAGTGATTAGTTTTACTACACTTTGCAGAAATATTAATATATGGAGATGAGGGTGGAATTGATTAGGCAACAATTCCTCTGCGATAGTCCATAAACATTTTTGTGTTTTAAATTATAAAAACTTGATTACCTGTAGAACAATGGAATAGTCTATTTATGAATTTTTTTACAGGCTGACTATGATTTTAGTGTTTACACTGATAACTCTGTCCGTATGATATCAATTATTATAAAACCATTAATATGTAAATTTTTATTTAATATAAATGTAAAATATATAAATTTACATTTCTATGTTTTTTTCATTTTTGTAGGAGCTGTTTTTATACTTGCCCAGGAACACAAGCTTGGAACAGGTGAGTCTTATTTTCTCATCGAAACTATTTTCACTCATATAAAGATAATACAAAACTAAATTTTGTGATTTATTACTTTATATTTATTTCCATGTAGTATTGGAGGTTGTCCCGAGGTGGCCGTGAGGAACATATACAATGCTACACATTGTTCTCGGATATATGACTCTGCTGTCGGTCTGCTCATCACTGATTGGTCAGGAATTGCGCATATTAATCATGAGCTCATTAGTTTACCGGCTTACGTGACTGCTGCTGGATTGGCGTGGAACATGTACACAAGCCTTGTAAGTATAGATCTGAATTATATTTGAGAGAAACAGATTTTTTGGTTCTTATGCTGTGACGCTGAATTCATTGAAAGTTTGTAAACAATTACCAAATACCTATAATTATGAATTTTTGCATGTATGTAATATTGGTCATGTAATTTTGCCCTATTGCTTGAAAACCTTTTTAGATAAATGTTAAAGCAACACTCAAGAACTTTATTACCCAATCTAAGAATCGGAATAATCTAGCATTATGCAGTACAAGTGGATTATTAATTGTATATGCTGTGGAAAAATGGACCAACTGATGTATGGGGTAGAATTGAAGCTTATGTATTGTAGAGGTTCTCAAGCCTTTATAATCACTTTCAGCCTTGTAATCTGTGAAAAGTATATAGAGTGGGGCTGCCTATACTAGAAAATAACAAATATTATATTGATTATTTTTTCTATTGCCCTGAAAATGTGGACATTTTCCGATTTGGTGAGAGGAGGGGGTGCACACACCGCGCATCCATTACACTGCCCCTTGGATACAGGCCTGTAAAAAAAAAAAAGACTGATAACGCTGATTTTTAAATGTCACTGTGCTTGAGCAACACAACCATTTTTTATTGGCTTTGTAATTATTTCTACCTGGTTGTTTTTTTGGTTTTTTTTGTAAAGGACACAGTCCACCAGAACCTGCCTGATTTGATCAATCTCCACATATGTCACCACGCATCATCGGTCCTTGGCCAGGTCGTCGTCGAGATTGGCCGTGCTGAAACCTACCTGATGAGAGCATCAAGGAACCAGGATATGGACAGCTACAAGAACCTACCAGCTGCAGAGGGCTCCTTCTTCTACCAGCTCATCAATAATCCTGATTTGCTAGAGTTGACCCATTTGACTCCTGACATTATGCAGGTACATTTTTTGAGGCAAGATTTTATTGTGTGGAGGTTTTTCAGTCCGTGTGATCTGCTACCGACTAACATGTTTAAAATCAATACCATTTCTTCTGTAATTTTTATTTTAATTGTAAGTTATTATTATTGCCTTTAGAAATCTCAGAAACACTTGAGGAAATGCCAGAATGCTTTGAATAAAGTAGCATTGAACAATCCAAAGCAGTCAGAGCTAGAACTTCAACTCACTGTGGAGCTGATGATGTGGGCTTGCAAGTAAGTGGATTAGCTTGGTCTGTCTTGGTGGTTTAGATACTTGCCTTCCAATCCCAGGCCTCTGGTTTTAAGTCCTGCAATGTTGATGGAGTAGAGCTGTATCTTGGTGGTTAAGATGCTTGCCTTCCAATGCCAGGGTCCTGGGTTCAAATCCTACAATGTTGATGAAGTGAAGCTGTAGCTTGGTGGTTAAGATGCTTGCCTTCCAATCCCAGGGTCCTGGGTTCAAATCCTGCAATGTTGCTGGAGTGGTGCCTTCCAATCCCAGGGTCCTGGGTTCAAATCCTGCAATGTTGCTGGAGTGGTGCTGTATCTTGGTGGTTAAGATGCTTGCCTTCCAATGCCAGGGTCCTGGGTTCAAATCCTACAATGTTGATGAAGTGAAGCTGTATCTTGGTGGTTAAGATGCTTGCCTTTCACTCTCAGGGTCCTGGGTTCAAATCCTGCAATGTTGCTGAAGTGGTGCTGTATCTTGGTGGTTAAGATGCTTGCCTTCCAATGCCAGGGTCCTGGGTTCATATCCTGCAATAGGGAGCTTTCGATTGCACGACGACGGTCGGACGTAGAACGTAATGACGTCACTAAAAGTCATCTGCGCATGCGAGAACGTTAAGGTCACCTCATGGAGTAGATTCTTGAATACAATTTGGCCAAATCTACATATGCAGAGAACGTAGGATGCCAGGTAGGACGGTCACGCATGAGTGATTCCATTCTAGCGTTGCGTCATCGCACAAATCGAAAGCTTCTTAATGTTGATGGAGTGGAGCTGTAGCTTGGTTGTTAAGGTGATTACCTACTAATTCAAAGGTTCTGGTTGATATCCTGTGAAATTCTATGCTTATTTTTTTTCTCATAATTGCATACAAATTTATTTTTTTAACCCCATAATCAGACGTTTTGAATCATCAAATATAATTTCCACTGTCATAAAGCATAGCATGTCTCTGTATATATATAGTCTCTTATACACATCTAGATGTGTATAAGAGACAGATATATATATAT